CTGCTTTTCTGGGACCGAACAGAGCCAGGAGCAGCACCGCAAGGGGCTCCTCCAGAGGGAGGAGCAGGTTCTTTAAGATTTGAAGTTTTTCTTTTTTATTTTAAATATTTATTTTGAGAGAGAGACAGAGACAGAGAGAGACAGAGAGAGAAAGCAGGATCTATGCTGTCAGTGCAGAGCCCAACGTGAGGCTCAGTCGCACGAAGTGTGAGATCGTGTCCCAATCGGAAACCAGGAGTCAGACGCTCAACCCGCTGAGCCACCCAGGCGCCCCAAGATTGGGAGTTTCGAATCCCAGCCCCACCAGCCTGGGCACAGTCGGCCTGTTGGCAGGGATCTGACGGAAGCCTGGGACACAGGAGGGGAGACCGTTGGCTCGCCTGGGAGGCCTGAGCTCCCCTCCCTGGGGACCGGAGAGCAGGGTGACGCCACCTTCCCCGACCACCAGCACCTGGGACTTCAGCAACCAACACAGCGCCCCCAGTGGAGGCTCGAGCCGCTTACATCAGACCGCGCCCCCTGCGCCCTGCTGAGCCGTCTGACTGGGCGCCAGCCGGTGCAGGGGGCCTCTCCCCCAGAGGAGCACAGGCCCCCCCACACGCACCCCACCTACTGATCATAGAGGGCTCCAAAGCGTCAGCTTCAGTTCTGAAGCTGGAAATAGGACCAGACTTTCTTTTTTTGTTGTTTTCCTTTGGAATCAAACTTAGAGTTTTTTGTTCATTTGTTTGTATTTTCATTTCCTTCTCTCACTTTTTGTGGGGCTTTTTGGGTTTTTTTTTTAATTTCTTTTTTGAAGTTTATTTATTATTTGAGAGAGAGAGTGCACATGTGAGTGGGGGGGGGACAGAGAGAGAAGGAGAGAATCCCAAGCAGGCTCCACACTCACCACAGAGCCTGACGCAGGGCTCGATCCCACAACCCTGGGATCATGACCTGAGCCGACATCAAGAGTTGAACATTCAACCAACTGAGCCACCCAGGTGCCCCCCTTGTCTCATTTTTTGAATCAGTCTCGTTCTTTCTCTTTTTCTCTCGTGGAATCAGGCTTATAGTTGTTTGTCCGTTTGGGGCTTTGGTTCCTTTTCCTTTTCTCTTTTTTTGGATCGAGCTTCCTTTAACAAACAAATCAAAGCGCACATAGTTAAAAGTCCAAACACTCCTCACTGCAAGCAAGGAGGAGCTCTGCAGAGGACTGACCTGGGGGAAAGAGCAACCAAAGCACAGCAGCACAGTGCCCCATCGCCAGAAACCCTTCCCGAAGCACCAGGCCTGGACCCCCTGGTCCAGGTAGGACCCCCTCAATACAGCAGTATTCTCAAGAGCAAGAAACATAACAAGCTCTCACAACACGCAAAAGACAAAAACCTAGACAAAATGACAAGGCAGAGAATCCCCCCCAAAGGAAGATCAAGAAGAAACCACAGCCAGGGATTTGCTCACAACAGATAGAAGCAATATATCTGAACAAGAATTTAGAACACCAGTCAGAAGAATACTAGCTGGCCTTGAAAAAAAGCACAGAAGACTCCAGAGAAACCCTTGCTACAGAGATCAAAGACCCAAAAACTAGTCAGACTGGAAAAATAAAATGCTGTAACTGAGAAGCAAAACTGACTGGATAGAGTCCCAACAGGATTGAAGAAGCAGAGGAGAGAATAGGTGACGTAGACGATCGAAGGTTTCAGAATGGGTTAAAAGACCCATCGATATGCCACTTATAAGAGACTCGTGTGAGACCCAAAGACACCCAGATTGAAAGTGAGGGGGGTGGAGAACCATCTACCATCCTAATGACATCAAAAGAAAGTCGGAGTAGCCATACTTATATCAGACAAACTAGATTTTAAACCAAAGACTGTAACAAGAGGTGAAGGAGGGCACTATATCATAATAAAGAGGTCTATCTACCAAGAAGACCTAACAATTGTAAATGAAAACGGTGGCTTTAAATGACACACTGGACCAGATGGACTGATGGATATATTCGAAACATTTCATCCTAAAGCAGAATACACATTCTTTTCGAGAGCACATGGAACATTCTCCAGAACAGATTACATACTGGGTCACAAATCAGCCCTCGACAAATACAAAAAGATTGAGATCACACTGTAAGGGTTAAATTGTAGTGTAAGGCTAACGTGTGGCTTGAAAAATAACAGCTTTGTTCTGACACTGAAGGTCAAGAGATAACAGCCTTGCTTCACTCTTGTAAATTATGCTTCATACTCTTATAAATCAGGCTTCACCAATGAAGGAAACAAAAGCTCAAAGAGAAGAGCATCAGAGGCAAGGTCAAGGAGATCCACTGGTTGCAACTTAGCGGCAAAAAGTCTAAAATAATCACTTCATCCAGAAACTGTTTCTAACTCATCTGGGAACTGCTTCTCTGTTCTGTTCCGAGGTGATGATAAAACGATGTGGTCGGCCATAAAAACTCTGTACCCCGGCTGTTCGGGGCCACACTCTTATCAAGAGTGTTGGTCCGGATCGGTCGGCCTTGCCTCTCATTGTAATAAACTTTGTTGTGACTGTCACTGGTGCCCATAGCATTCTGTTTCAGGAGTTGTGTGGATGCAACAATACCATGCATATTTTCAGACCACAACACTATGAAACGTGAAGTCAACCACAAGAAAAAAAATTGGAAAGACCACAAATACATGAAGGTTAAAGAAAATCCTACTAAAGAATGAATGTGTCAACCAGGAAATTAAAGAAGAAATTTAAAAATACATGTAAGCAAATGAAAAAATGAAAATGAAAACATTACAGTCCAAAACCTTTGGGATGCAACAAAGGCAGTCATAAGAGGGAAGTATATAGCAATATATAGCAATAGTAATACAGGCCTTACTCAAGAAGCAAGAAAAGTCTCAAGTACACAACCCAACACCTAAAGGAGCTGGAAAAAGAACAGCGAATAAAGCCTAAAACCAGCAGAAGAAAAGAAATACAGATTAGAGCAGAAATAAACAACACATAAATTAAAAAAAAAAAAAAAAAAAA